AACCTGTCGTCGTTTCTGTCTTCTAGTGCATTGTTAGTGTTATCTTCCCTAATTATCAAATTATCTTTTCACTGGGACATTTTCCATTGACTTCTCTTACTCATCAAAATCTACTTTTACAGTCACCTGTACTTTCAGAATGTTAAAAATCAGGTTTTTGTTCGAGCTCAACCATTCAGTTCAAGACACCGGCAGTTGTATCCTACAACAAACTAGATTCTGGACACCTTGGAGGACCCTGTGGCCAGACGCGCTCGGAAAAGACTCTGTAATCTGTCGAAGCAAACCGTGATGCTTGTGCTGCAGGTTCCCTTCTGGAATATGTCGTCGGGCATTAAATGATTTATGTTCTCTATGGTAGACTCTTCATCACCGTCAGCTGTAAGAACCGCGTACTTGTCGTACAGTGGTGGTAGTTTCGTTCACCGATAATTTGAGAGTGGGGTAGGTAGCTGCGCATTGGAAGCAGATAAATTGGAAGCTGATCAATCGGTGCGTGAATACAGGACTGCCGTGGACCGTTAAGTGAAGGAATTGGGAAGGGAGATATGCATTGAAGGCAATAGTTTGGGTGCATGAGCGCCACTGAGAGCGTGACTGGGCGATGTGTGACATGATTCCTAACCATTGATGAGGCCCTTTTCGGGGTCCAAGAAGACGGCAATGACCAGCGCATGTGGGTTTACTGATAGACTGACTGGGCTGACACCAGACGCTTATCGTATTCTCCCTACTTTCTTTCAAAACAGTACTTTGTTTTAGAAAAAATAGTAAGGGTATACCTTCAAAATGCACCGGTATTCTTCTTGGAGTGGATTCCAATGAGCTAGTGATGATGTCCTCTTTCATCATTTAGGCAATGTTATCGGTTTTTATACTGAGTCCAACAAAAATTCCAGATTTTAGGCGTTTGTTGTAAGGGACCTTAAGAGCAACCTTCAACAACAAATAGCACGCATTCTTGAGGGCAGGAAATTTTATTTAATCTGCATCTGTAATCTTATTCTGAGCAGATCTACTGGATCATCCGGATGGGAGACATGAAAGCTTGTCAACTAGTTACCAATATTTTTGTCTGGACTTTGGTGTGGATGGATTCTCTGCATATTTTTTCGTGCCTCACTCTGGGTTTGGTAGCGGGGCAACAGGTCTTTGGGAGGGAAAGATACTAATTACTCCTCAGCTGTTTCTCAAAAAATGCCTGTTATCGAGAGTAAATGACTAGAAGGCCACCATTTAAACCGGTTTGCTCAGATAGCAGTTCTGTTTTTTTGAAATAAGAGTGAATAGATGTAAAGATGTGCTTTTCAAATCCACGACTCTGGTAACCAGAGGGGTGATGTTATACAAATAAATGACTAGTGAAAAAGTAGATAAATAAACTGACCTTCTTGTACATTTCGGTTTCTTGCAAGCTATGAAATTTATCCAAAGTCATATCATCGAAATATCCAAACCACTAAAAAAATCAACGAAATCACAAAAATCAGCTTCAGCACGTACGGTAAACGATCCGCTTGTGGAAAAAATATACTATGAAAAGTTTTATCTAAGCGGCGTGTGGGAATCATTTATTTGATGCAAAGTGAATAACACGCTCGTTCAAATACGCAAGACTTCCTCTGCATGGAAGATGCATCGCATGAAGAGTCGTACTACAATACATCCCTTTTTTCACGTGGAACGTTGGTATTCACATAGGATTCTTTGGTTGAATCATTTGACGCCCTCACAGATTCGGATAGCTATGGACTGTTTGCGCAGAGCGTGGTGCTACACACACAACCCTCGACTCAATGGAATAGGATCGGCGGGCGAGCACACAGTGTACTTTTAGGAGAGCAAAGTCCACCTCTTAGAGCTCGCTTAGTAGCACAAAAACAATATCAAATCCTTGTATAGAACTAATCCGGCTCGTGAAAACCACAACGATCTGATCACAGCTGAACATGAAGTCTTCTGTGTAAATCATCTCGATGTGTCAGTGTACGCAGATATTGGGTAGCATCAATCCATCGACCATGGTAAGGAAGTTTCCAGATGCGTCTGTTGCACACAATCTTGTGACCTTTTGCGTAGTCCCAATTGGGAATTGAACGGTTAGACAGAGTAACAATTATCTAAACAACTAGGCACAATTTTGTCCAACCGTAGTTAATTTTTGAGGAAGTAATCAGAAAAACTAGTCGTGAACAGTTCCAATACGGAAACCAGTGATTTTCCGGCGACCTTTAATCAGTGACTCTTAACTACGTTAGACACAACTTCCTAAATCATAAAATGCTTTACAATATATCTTCGTTTACTGCAACCTTTCTCTTCTTTTGCCTGGTATTGCCAGCAAACGGAGCCATATTATTCTTCACATCAAGCTTTTTCTCATCACCGAGCATCACATCCTTCCTTTTGTGACACGATAAATTTAGTTCTTTTCTCAGTTTATACATGCTGCCTAAATTTGATGGTGCAATCCAAATGAAGTGACATTTACTGGTTAGGCATTTAGTCATGCGCAACCCTCAAAATGCCCATCCATCCTGAGGTTGAGGCCACGTGAAATTTAGACAAGATTTTGCCTTGGAGAGCAATGGTCGCTAGACAGAGTTGAGAGGGTATGTTGATACTCCTGTGAATCAACGGTGAACAAGTTCAACCTTCCTTGTTTTCTGACTACGCACGAGTAAAATGGCTTACACCTGTTTATTTTGACACCGTTTCGTTTTCTTGCTGCTCGTCTTCCCCCCGTTTCGTTCCTACTTAAGGTCTGCTTATCTCTCAGTGACTGATGTCAATATTTTGTTGTCTGTCATTGCCTGCAAGTTCGTCTCGATTGCACCTATTTTTGAGCGCCCACTGCAATGGAAAAGCGGGCCGACCGGCCAGCCAAACGCGTTACCAGCTACACCGACCTGACGCCCGGAGCGGCTGATTATTTTGTATTACCCATGTATCACGCCCGTAGCCTTTGCTGAGCTTTGTTTTAAACGGACGAAATCGCGCAATCTGACCTGTCACGCGACACGAGCGGCTGCGTCGACGCCGACCGAAAGACAGTCCCTCACATTCCGAACGTACTGACTCCTGCGCCGTCACCGCCAACTCACACTGTCAGACTGCCCCTATATAAATCCTTGCTGTGACAGTGACTACTTCCCGCTCCTGCAGATTGCGTCATTGTTGATTGTACGTTTTCTTAATTCATGATGCTTACTAATCCGTTTTTCTGTAGAACCAGTTCCTGTCAGTCTTCAATATATCATCTGCTGCCCCACGTCTGTCTGCTCCTATTGACTACTGGCTACGAACTGTGTATAATCTAATAGTCGCAATCGTCCTGTGAGATCCGTAACCGTCCGGATCTTACATATGTATTATTACATAATCTATTGGTGACCTAAAAGATCGAATAATTCACAGGTTGCGTGAAAATTCGACATGAGGATTCGTCACTCGACAAGTCAGTACCCTGTTGATTGTGTTGTGAATTACATGACTGAATGATGACTGGCGCTATATCCTGCCTGACTGCGACTCAATCATACTGCTTATTAGCGTCTCCTAGTCGAACTCTTTATTATTCGACTACAAGGGGGAAGTCGTGGATACAAAACTCACTGGGTTTTCTTGAGGTGTGCATCACGGACGGTTTCCAATGAAGTTGAGGCCGTAGAAGGCTTTCAGACTTTTCAGGATACATCAAATTCGTTTCCAAAGTCTTCTCATACTACCAACCAAATAGGTTTTCATTTAGATTGTTGGCTATCGATTTTGATTGGAAAAAGTTCGGTCGCACTGCAGTCGCTGTTTTTAATTTGGCCATTCACTCAGTTTGATTTTGTTTTTATCACGCCGTCCATAGCGAAAATTTACTTTCCATTTCGAAAGTGGCTCAAATGAAATGTGACTTTGCAAGTAGCAAGAGCCATCCGCTAAAGCTGAAACTATTCACCGTCGAGGAGACCGCAAAATGACCTGACGGAAGCACTGATAGAATCGAAAAAAATCGCCTTTAACTCACCTATAAATCAAGTCAACCAAGTATACACCTTGTTACTCCTCACCACTGAATATTGTCTCACAGATTCCAGTTTTGACACAAAAAATTCACTCAAAATTTTGTAACCAAGTTTCAAGTGGTTATTCGTTGAAACATTGAAAGTTCCAATTTGTACAGGGACGAATAATTAGGAAGAAACGAGTAGCTCCGGCAGCCTTCCATATGACAGAAGAGTTCATCTTGCAGCAACACTTTTTAGTTGGCATGAGAAACACTCACTTCCACTTCTGGCGCTCTCGTACTCACCTCCCCGTTCTCGTTATTAAGCAGTTATTTCATGAATGGCAAACTTCTCTCGAGAAAAGGGTTACACTTGGTATCTCTGTATTACTTCAATTTAATCGAAATTAGTAGAATCATGGCCTGGTTTTCTGAACTGCTATAAGAAGTTCAGTGACTTCACAAATTTCCAGGAGTGCTATTAAAAATTCGGTGCTGGTGAAAGGAGGAGAACCATCCCCTGCGATGTCATTTATTGAAAGCACCAGCTAAGCAACCACAAGCTATTGGGCAGGAGAGTAGACGCCTCATATGCACACCGTTTTTGGAAACTGAACGTTCTCACGCGTCTTCTTGAACTTTCATCAATATTCAATCGCTGTCGCACAATTGTAAGTATACGCTATAAAGCAGTTCCACAAGTTTCGTAGTAAATTTCGCCTTCCATTGGACCCCGGATGACACGACCACAGACCACGTACACCGTAGTAAGAGTATTAGTTCTTATCCCACTCCAGACCTAAGTAGGCTAGCTCATGTACTACTCATAAGGTTGCTGAAATTTCGCCCTTCTTCGGGCTTATCGCTAATTTCGCTCGCTAATTTCGTGCAATTTGGTTTCAAGTGGAAAATAAGGTTGACAGAAACTCGGGAACTGCGCCCACCTGATGAGCCCCAAGGAGGGCGAAATCGTTCGAGGCCTCTCGACGAATTTTCTGCAACCTTATGAGCAGTGCATTACATATATACATGTTTCGCGATACTTGGAATGTTGTAGCGACTGAAACATGAGACAGCCTGGTGCAGCACATTCAGTTACCTGGAAACATCACAAAGGAGAGATTCAGCTTGGTTCCAGATGAGTCTCTCGAAAAACCAAATTAGTTGGCTAATCAGTGTATCTCGCTAGGTTAGTTGACGTTTACTTGACTTGCCTTATTGCTCATAGCAGTTTGATCAATACCAATTCATACTATAGAATGGAAATGCGAAACGCATGGTAAAGACGATTACTTGCTTTTCCGTTACATTTCTTCTAAACTATGTATTTTTATCTCTTCCTTCGCACTCAAAGTTAGGAGAATACAGTACGTGACAGCGGACTGGTTGAAAAAAAGTTAGGCAAAACTCAGTTACTTACTCACGTAGAATGCTTAATTTACAATCCCGTTTGCACTATGTTTAAGGTTGCAAACTAATAGATAAATCGTTCGTTGTGTCTGACGTCCGTTTAATTTCACAGAACTTCCTTGCATATTTTTCGAATGTATTCCCTTCGAATAGTGCATGCGAGTTAATCTTTTGGAGTTTGTCTGCATTCTTGGATTTTTAGTCTTGACCAGTGATGAGTAAGATGACACAGTATCGCGCTCATAATAATAGCGTTGCCACGCTCTAAAGTGTTATCGTCCGAGTTGTCGGCTAATGGACATTCTTTGGTCACCTGGTCACTGCTTTCTAAGTTTTTCACACTGTGACCATCGGCTAATGGACATTCTTTGGTCACCTGGATTCAGCGACTGTCACTGCTTTCTAAGTTGTTCACACTGTGACCGTGCACGCGCACCACCAGTAGAGAGCAAACATTAATACTAGGGCAGCAGCATAGTTGAAGGCACTTGCGATGTCAAAGCTAACAATTGTGGACAGTTTCGGTTCACCAAGACTGCGAAATTGCAAACTCGATGAATCCCGTTGTGAATGGTCGGTAAGAAAAAGTGTCATTGCTAGACAAGAAGATCTTAGCCAGGCTTTGAAATCTTCACTACACTTTCCATCTATGGACAGATTCAGCAACTTATCGTTGCTAATGAATGAAGGAGGATGCTATGCTATTAAAATTCATACAACCATGAAAGTCTAAGGGCCAAATTTCTTTTATTCCTCATCCGTGCAAAGCCGGGCTCACATACTGGAGTGACGCCAGCTAATCGTGCGCAGGATTGCAACTCACTGACAGTACTGGATTTATGCACCAATTTACCAGCTCGCGCGTGCAATGCGCAGCTACTTACCCCCCAATCATCGGTGAACGAAACTGTGGCAGCTACAACCATTGTACGACCAGTACGCGGTTATTACAGCTGATAATGATGATGATGATGAAACTGGATTCAGGAAAATGACGGAAGGGAATCGCGTATGAGCCTATATATTTTGTTTGACACACTAAACATCAACCA